TCTTCATACTTTCTTATTCTTTTGTCATTAGCATCTACTGGTATTTTTTTTATGGGGCTGTCTTAAGGATACAGCCTCTAACCAGAGAAAAACAGTGCTTCTCTCTCTGAGATCTAGAAGGACCCTTTGGGGTCAGGCAGAAAAAATAAATCAAAAAGCTAAACTGCCCTGAGGCCTAGAGATGGGAAAATAGGACCAGATGCCTCCTGGGTAAAGCGGTCTTGCTCTAATTTAATTTAATCTAAATGGACAAGTTTCAAACCAGGAGGACTGATCAGTGGTTGGTCAGTGATGTGGGAAATGAGTGGTTGTTAGGATAGCAGAGGATCCATTATGACAACACTAATTGGAAATGATCACTCTGGACAAGAGCTGAGTGTTGAAAGCAGGTAAAGGAATATATATGATAACCTTTCAGCATCTGTATCACAAACCATAATGCCTAAAATGAGAGAGAAAAATAGTGACATAGAGAGAGAGAGAAGAGAGAGTTGCCTGCCATAGAGACAGGCTGGGGTCGGGGGTGACTTGAAGAGGTGGGAGAGAAACTGAGGACCCTGGTGTTGGAAAATTATACTGGTAGGAGGGATGGGTGTTGGAACATTGTATGGCTGAAACACAATCATGAACAATTTTTTAAGGTTCTAACACATGGTGATTCAATAAAAAATAATTTATAAATTTTGACCCCAGTTCTTACCACACCAATGCGAAGATAATCTGTGATTGTAATTGTAATGGTTGAAGGAAACCATGTTGCCCCTCAGAGACAGGTTTCTCTGTAGAAAAAAAAAAACAAATTATCGTCTTATGGAGGGATAATGAAATTTCCAGTGAAAATTCTACATAATAGGGGTTGGAGTGATAGTACAGCAGGTAGGGTGGTTACCTTACTTGCGACTAATCTGAGCATAATCCCAAGCATCCCATCCACTGAGCCCCACCAGGAGTAATTCCTGAGCACTACCAGGTGAGGTCTCAAAACAAACGAAAAATCCAAAGTATCTATTAGCTACACCCTTTAAAGCATGCTGTGAGTTTGACTCTACTGTACTTAGGTATGCATTTCCAGAGGGGGACCCAGTCATCAGGCTCCTGGGGGCTGCTTTGGGACTGAAGACTGGCATTTTCTACTGGCTTGCCTCATTGCCAGGGGAAAGGGAACAGGTTTATAAGACCTAGTAGACACTCCCCTAACCAAGACACAATTTTTTTTTGCTTTTTGGGTCACACCTGGCGATGCACAGGGGTTACTCCTGGCTCTGCACTCAGGAGTTACTCCTGGCGGTGCTCAGGGGACCATACGGGGTGCTGGGAATCGAACCCCGGGCGGCTGCGTGCAAGGCAAACACCTACCTGCTGTCTCTCCAGCCCCACCAAGAGACAATTTAAACTGAACAAATAACACAATATATATTGAGAAATACATAACTTCTCAGACACTCCTGTAAAACACTTTAATTTTCTTGAGTATTACATTGAGGGATTACCATACTACATGCCCAGAGCTATGAGCTTCCTACAAACCACTTTCTATTCTCCTCAAAAGATTTCAAGATCAAAACGCAATCAAGAAAGTTTGTATGTCTATAACCATATCTCATGGTGATTCATTAAAATTTAAAAAAAATTTTTAAAAAAGACTTCAAAATCAAAGCAAACAAAGATGGAAGTGCTGTGTGTATTAGTTTGAAAGTAAAATTCCAGTAACTGTCAGTGACCTTTTGTTTTGTCAGCCTGCATCCGAGAACCAGAAATGCTAGGGAAAGAGATGAGGAAAAGCAGGATTGTCTCAGATTCTTTATTATTTGAGCCGCAATCACAGAGTTTGGGGGAGCCACGCTTGTAATAGGTAGATAAACACTTTCTGTGCCCGATGCCAACTTCAAAGTCCTGGGGTGGCCACCTGCATGGCAAGTTTTGTACAAAGTTCCTCAATTAGGAAGTGATAACCCCCCAAATACAAATGTGGCAGGTGGATCTTATGGAACCTTCGACAGATCTCTTGGTTGGCTAAACTTAAACTTCAAATGCCTTAAGATTGATCTTAATTCTCTTAATTCCTAAAACTCTGACATATAGGTTCCTCTGAGGCCTTCTAATGGATTGGAGCCAAGGTCTGGGTATTTGTTCTGGGTTTTGCCAAAGCCATGCTGAGACCACTCTCCACATGCTTGGACAAGCTTCACGCATGAATGAACTGGCAGAGGAACCCAGGTGTGCAGGACCCAGGGCTGAGATCTCCAAGCCTGCTCAGTTGGGGACTGGGCCTCTTCTACCCAGTTCCCCCACCTTCCAGTAGCTAAACAGTTACACCCACCAACTGCCCTATAACCCCATCAACTGCCAGGATCCAGAGACTATAAAACCAAGCGCCCAGAAACAGACCTCTTACTCTCTAGTTCTCATTTTCAGAGAACCTGGCAGGCTCAGAGAACCTGGCAGGCTACTGAGAGTATCATACCCGCATATATGTCTGACTAGGAACACCTATAAAGGTGATTAGAGGCTGCCCCAAAAGCTACCTGTGGCGTACTCAATATGCCAAAAACAATGAATGGTCCTCATTCCCCTGACCCTGAAGGAGCCCCCAATATGTCATCGGGCTACACTAGCAGGTGACAGGGATGAATGGAGACATTACTGGGCCCGCTCAAGCATATCGATGAGCAATGAGGTCATAGTGATAGTGATAGCGATTGCAAAACAGGCAGAAAAACTTATAAACAGGCATTGGAGGACTAGCTCCGGTGATGAAGCATGGGGTCTGTAGCCTAACAGTCAAATTCTAAGGATAGAGAAGAGAAGCTGGTGGCTGGAGCCAGCCCCAGTGACAGTTGGTGGCGGGAGGAGAAAGATTTCCAAACTAAGGAGCACGTGCCTTTGAGCCCGCCCCTAGAAACCGGTCTGCAGCTCTGGGCCTTAGCAACAGCCAATGAGAGAGGAGCGGGGAACAATGTGGACCAATAGGAGGGCGTGTCCATGGGTATTTCCTGGCCCTGGGGCGGGGTTTGGCTCATTGCCTGTCTGACCTTCTAAGCGGTTGGTCGTGGACTTTGATCTGCGAGGATGAGGTCTAGGCAATTGCAAGGTGGATCCGGAGCATCCCGAGCATCCCAAGAATCCCAAGAATCCCAAGAATCCCCAGATGACAGGTCAGCAGGATGGGGGCTGCTCTCCACTAGAGTGGGCAGGGGAGGAAGGGGTCGGGGGAGGGAGGGGGCCTCACCTGGGACTCAGAGGGACCGGCTGGCAGTTGGGGTGTTAAGTCCTGGGGGGCGAGTCTGATTTGGTGGCTGGTGACCAGGGCGGTGCGGACCCGGTTGGCAGAGGCGTCTATATCACCGGCATCAGGGATTGGGTTAGGGTCTTCCTTGAGAAACTCTTGGGGAGTTTCCTTCTGACAGCTCCTCGCCCTGCTCCCTACGTCCCAGTAGAGCCACCTTGGGTCAGGGTCAGTTTCCCCGGGGAAACTGTGTGTCTGAAATGCTTTTGCTGTGGGGGGCAGGTGCCAGTTTTGGAACTGATAACTCAGGGTGAACCGACCGTTTCTTGCCTGTCCAGCAATTATCTCTTGCTTGGAGTTTTCTGATACAGAGTGCTCGATGCCCCGAGTTTATAAGGATCCTCTTTAAAATTTTTTTTTAATTTTAATTAATTTTGGGGAGTAATCTTTCATGCTCTACCCAACGGTGTCCCCTCCCATTTGGACAAAGCTAGAACCCAAAAGCGAAAACCTGAGAAATAAACAGATCCGAGACGTCTTTGTCAATTTCTTGTTTATGACGACTTCAATGACGGTTAGGGGAGAGGAATTGAGTGACATCAGACTTAAATGTCAGTTTCTGAGAATTTAAGTTGGGCTATTTTTAAGTTAATTAGTTAACTTGGTCGTGATTCTGGAGCCCAGGGCCCAACCTGCTTCCCCACTTTAGACCGTTGATCTCAACTTTTTATATTTTAATTGGGATGTCTGAATTTAAGGGAAACTGTGTCTTGTATCTTCACTTGACTCAAGTGGAGAAGGTCCAATTTATGCTATTTCAACTGTAACAAATACATTCTTCACACCTAAGATGAACACCGATAACTTGGTTTTTGTTCGAATTTGAAATGAGTTCGAAAAGTTGCCACGCACCAGAGCAACGGCTCAAAGGGCTGGGGCGTGTGCAAGGCTGGCAAAAGACCCCAAGTTCAAATGCAAGCTCCCTTTGTTCCCCCCTCCCCGTGTCAGCACCGCTGGGTGTGATGTCAGCAGCACCAAACCTGGTGGCCCCCAGCACTGAAGCCGAACACTGAACTGCACCTCAAACCTTTGGACCTGAACCTGGGCGAGTTTTCCCGAGAGGGGGACCCTGCCAGTCACCTCGAGGAGCTTCTCCTCCGTCCCCAGGAACGGATCAAAATAAAATACATTTACAGAGAGGCCCAGGGTAGAACAAACGCCCTAACGTTTATTAGGTGGGAGGGATACTGGGATCCGTGGTGGTGGAAAATGGGCACTGGTGAAGGGATGGGTGCTTGATCATTGTATAACTGAGACCCAAGCACAAAAATTTGTAAGTCTACAACTGTACCTCATGGTGTTTCACTAATAAAAAAAATTTTAAAAAAAGAAAATCAGTAAGGAACAATTAGTGCACATATGATTATTTTAAAAAATTAATTATCTAAAATTTTATTTTAATTTTTATATTTGACAATATTTGATTACACTTAATATTCGAACACCAATCCCACCACCATTACACCTTGCCAACACCATATTTTGGATGTTTCAATCCCGAGCCCCAACCCCTCCCCCAAAGCAGAACCAAAGTAATTTATTTTCTATTGTTTGTTATGAATAAACCACTGAAAAATGCTCAAAAAAACTTTTGTTAGGGGTCTTGTGTGAAGATTATTGTATTTCAATCAAGGGCCATTAAGCCATTCTAGAAGAGATTGCTAATATGTTGATAAATTAAACCCCATCTAATGTGGTATGCTACTTTTGGAATATGAGTGGTGTGAGGTATGTGATATTGTTTGGCTGCATAGTCCAGGATTTCCGTGGCCAGGGCTGGGTCCCTTGGGGTGGGGAGGGTCCTACCTGCCCCCCTCCTGGGGACCCTGGTGCCGGGTCCAGCAGCATGGCTAGGCCATGTGTTGTTTTATGCTCTCTTCCAAAAGAGAAGGACAGTGAGTCTCTGGATCGTTGCTGTTGATGAGATTATCTGGTCCACATCTTATTCTTGAGCACTTCTGAGCACCAAATCGGGAATAGCCTGAGCACAGCCAGATGTGGTCCAACATCCCCCTGACTGCCAACTTTTCCCAAAGAGAGAAATGCTCGAGAATGTTAGTTGCATGTCAGAACTTCACATTATTGAGGAGGTTTTTTTTGGTTAATTTTTTATTTTATAAAGTAAAAGGTAAAAGGGTAAAGGCCCTCCCATTGATCGTCGATTTGCTCGAGCGGGCCCAGTAACGTCTCCATTGGAGACTTTGTTGTTACTGTGTTTGGCATATCGAATACTCTCGGTAGCTTGCCGGGCTCTCAATATTTGATTACATTTACTATTCCAGCCCCAATCCCACCACCATTACACCTTCCCACCACCATATTTCAGATGTTTCCATCCCAAACCCCAACCCCTTCCCCAAAGCAGAACTGAAATAATATATTTTGCATTGTTTATTGTTTGTCATGAAAAACCATTGAAAATGCTACAAAAAGTTTCCTTAGAGGAAAGAATGTGAGGATTGTTGTATTTCACCAACGGGCCACTAAGCCTTCCTATGAGATCACTAACATGTTATTAAAGATTGAGACTTGTGTGCTATATAGATATATATACATATATATCTATACATATATACATTATGTAGGATATATATGTATATATATCTGTGAAAAAAATTATTTCCCTCTAAAATTGGTTGCTTCTTACTTTGAACGCCATCAAAATGTGGTGCAGTACTCTTGGAGTATGAGTGGTGTGTGCTATGAGCAATCACGGAGCTGTGAATATGGCCGCATGGTCCAGGAATAGGTTCACTCGTGGGTGAGGCTCAGCAGGGGCATGTGGAGAGGGGCCATGAGCACAGTATCGGTTGAGTTCTGGAGGTTTTCACCTGCCAGGGCTGGGTCCCTTGGGGTGAGGAGGGGTCTCACCTGGCCGTCCTCCAAATGAAACAGTCTGGCGGCATGGTCATGGCAAGTGTCATGTTATGCTCCCTTCTGGGAGATAAGGGCATGTGACTCTGGATGGTGGCCGGTGACGAGATTCACTGGCCCCATTCAGAGGTGGCTTATGGGTGTGACTGCTGTTTCTGGAAACGGGGATACGGGTGAAGGATTCCCATTCCTGGTTCCACTGAACCCAGAGTTCTCAGTCACAAAGTCCCGCATACCTGGGTTTTCTGGGGATTCACTCGTGGGTGAGGCTTGACCTGAGCATATGGAGAGTGGCTGTGATCAGGGTGGCGGTTGAGTTCTGGAGGTTATGGGCTGCTAGGGGCTGCCTCCGGGGCACCCTGAATGAAAGCCTGGCAGCATGGTTATGGCAAATGTCATGTTATGCTCCCTTCTGGGAGAAAAGGACATGCAACTCTTGGATATTAGTTTTATGTAGGATAACATTGGTTTGCCCTTTCTGCCTTGCCACAGGGAGCTTAGGTTTGTTGGGCTACTCCCATCACAGTGCTCCCATTCCTCTGTGTTTATTTGTAAACTCTTTCTTTGTGCTCTGCTTCCCCAACCACCTTTATCTCCTAATAAGACTTTGTAAATATTGCTTGTGAATATTGCTTTTCTCTTAAGTCCTTTGCATGGTTAATTCAGAGCAATGTCCTTTTTGTATAGACACAGGAAGACAGTTAATGCTATGCTTTTGTAAATTAGGAGTTAATTGACTCCAAATGATATTCACTCCTGGCATCTTTTCTCTAGACTTAAACCTCAGTTGTCCCAATTTCCTGGCACCCCAAAAGTAGGTCCTGACAAGGGACTGGATGGACCCATATCTATCTATCTATCTATCTATCTATCTATCTATCTATCTATCTATACTTTTTTTTAAAGCCGTGAGCTACCCTGGTATCAAAATGAGCCAGGACAAAGTGCCATAATATTAACTATAGGATAAGAGCATGGTCATAGACAAATTCTATCATGATCCAAAAATTAGCAGCTGGATTAGGATCTTGCTAGGGTTAGGAAAGGTTAATCTGGCATGTGCGCTATAGTCTGAGATCTTATAGCGAGATGTCCCCAGGAAAGTCACCCTACAAGCTTAATGTATCTCTTACAGTCTCATACAAAATGACTGATATTAAGAAAGAGAATTAAGATGTTAATTAAGCTGTTAATTAAGTTATTGGACTAAGGAGAGGAGAAAAGCAATACTTACAAGTTAACAGAGTCTGATTAGGAGATAAAGGTGATTGACCGGTTGGGGAAGCGGAGCACAAAGAAAGAGGTTACAAGTAAACACAGAGGAATGGGAGCACTTTGATGGGAGTAACCCAATAAACCTAAGCGCCCTGTGTCAAGGCAGAAAGGACAAACCAATGTTGTCCTACATATATATAATATACATGTATATATATTTGTAAAAAAAATTTCCCTCTAAGATTAGTTGCCTCCTACTTTGAACCCCTACTTTGAACCCCATCAAATGTGAGTTGCAGTATGGGTGGTGTGTAGTATGAAGTGGTGCGTGGCTGCCAATGCAGCCGCGTGGTCCAGGAATAGGTTCACTCATGCATGAGGCTTGCCCCAAACGTGTGGAGAGTGACTCTGAGCAGGGCATCAGTTGAATTTGGAGGTGTTTGGCTGCTGTGGCTGGGTCCCTTGGGGCAAGGATGGGTCTCCCCTGCCCTCTCTGGGGATCCCTGAATGAAACAGTCTGACATGGGGTCTGGCAGCTTGGTTATTGAAAGTGTCATGTTAGGCTCCCTTCTGGGAGAGAAGGACATGCACCTCTTGGATATTAGTTTTATACTTTTTAATATATATATTTCACAAATGAACCATGTATGTTTTTAAAATAGGTCACTTTCAGGGCTGGAGCAATAGTACAGTGGGTAAGCCACTTGCCTTGCATGTAGCTGACCCAGGTTCGATTCCTGGTATTCCATAGGTCCCCAGAGCCTGCCAGGAGTGATTCCTCAGTGCAGAGCCAGGACTAACCCCTGAGTACCTCCAGGTGTGGCCCCAAAACCAAAATCAAAACCAGGCTACCTTCCATTGTATTAATATGTCACTGTCACTGTCCTCCCATTGTTCATCGATTTGCACGAGTGGGCCCAGTAACGTCTCCATTGTGACACTTGTTACTGTGTTTGGCATATTGAATATGTCACGGGGAGCTTGCTAGGCTTTGCTGTGCGGGCGAGATACTCTCGGCAGCTTGCTGGGCTCTCCGAGAGGGGCGGAGGAATCAAACTCGGTTAGGTCATGTTGGCTGCGTGCAAGGCAAATGCCCTACTGCTGTGCTATCGCTCCAGCCCATAGCAAAGAGTAATCTGGTAAAAACATTTATAATTTTTAGCTCTTCTTGTAAAGTTCTTTTCAAACGTAGAAAAAAATTTAGTTTTTATTTGATTCTATTTTGATTTCTGAAATATATTTTTATTAAAACACCATGACTTACAAAGTTGCTCCTAATACAGTTGTTTCAAGTATACAATGTTCCAACACCAATACCACCAGTGTGACCTCCACTGATGTCCCCTATTTCCCTCCCACCCTTCCAGCCTGCCCCCTTAAGTGAGTTCAAAACAAATGCACTGCAGATTGCTTACTCCAACACAACTTAGAGGAATGGCAAAAGGAACTGTCACAAAATAAATCAATTACAGTTAAATGTGATGCTTGGTTGCTATAAGATTTTAATCTATATAAATAAAGGATCGTCGATTTGCTCGAGCAGGCCCAGTAACGTCTCCATTGGAGACTTTGTTGTTACTGTGTCTGGCATATCGAATACTCTCGGTAGCTTGCCGGGCTCTCCGAGAGGGCGGAGGAATCGAAATAAAGGAATTCAAACCATTTAATATAATATACTAGAATGCCTATTCTCATTAATAAAAGTAAGTTTTCAGAGGTATAGCAACAGTGCAGCAAGTTGGGCGTTTGCCTTGCACGGGGCCGACCCGGGTTCAATCCCTTGGAAGCGACCTCAAAGCACTGACAGGTCTGGCCCAGAAAACCAACCAACCAGTGAAGTGCTAAGATCACCAGCACTCAGCGTGAGGGCATCTGCATCTGTGGCTCCCCTTGGACAGAATGAACAGCTCTAGGGGCCAGGACCCAGGGAGAGGAGGGAACTGACACGGTTTCCCAGGGATTTTCACTGACTTGCTTTCTTTTTCTTCTCCAGTGATAGTCTAGATGTGTATCTTAAGGAGCGCCAGCATAAATTGGACCATCAGGTAAGCAGTCCGCTCTTTTGGAACTGGTTCCCTGATCAGCTGACCGGACGCTGAAGACTGAGGCTCTGCTGGGGTTAGAAAAAGATGCTGGGACAAAATCGGCCTGTCTGGAGTCAGTAGGTCGAATCCAGGCGCTGGGATCTGATAGGGTCAGTGGACTGGGAGGGCATCAAGTGATGAAGTCACGCAAGTTCTCAGAATATTTCAGAAGAATTCAAAGGATGTTAATGTTGTGTTCCTATTATAGCACTGTCTTCCCATTGTCTGTCGATTTTCTCAAGTGGGCACCAGTAATGTCTCCACTGTGAGACTTGTTACTCTTTTTTGGCATGTCGAATACATCACAGGTAGCTTGCTAGGCTTTACTCTAGGTAACTTGCTGGGTTCTCTGAGAGGGGCAGAGGAATCGAACCCAGGTTGGCCCCATGCAAGGCAAACACCTTACCCGCTATGATATCGTTCTGGCCCATGTTCCTATTATAATCAGAAGAATTCAAAACATGTTAATATTGTGTTCCTATTATAATAATTACTGCAAATACTAAAAAAAAAATTGGGGCCACACCCAATGGTGCTCAGGAATCAAACCCGGGTCGGCCACGTGCAAGGTAAGTGCCCTCCTCGTTGGACTATTGTTCTGGCCCACTGATATTTTTTTTCACATGGGTTACACTCCATTAGAATTTGGGACTGCCAGGGCTAAAACTGATGGTTCTTTGGGGCCCATGCAAGTGTGGGAGATGGAACTCAGGGCCTCAGATGAGCGAGGCATCTATTCTACCACTTGAGAAATTTCCCTGACCCAGATAAACTGTGTATTTTGAGTGAAAACATGAAAATGACCTGAGTCACAAGTGATTTGCACCATCTTTGTACTTATCACCACCATGATCACAACCATCCTGTTGTTCGTCGATTGCCTCGAGCAGGCCCCAGTAACGCCTCCTTCGTCCTAGCCCTGAGATTTTTAAAAATGTGCCATATTCAAGGCTCTTTCAGGGTTAGGAAAATGAGACCCATCATTGTTACTGATATTTGGCATATTGGGTATGCCACGGGGAGTTTGCCAGACTCTGCCATGTGGGCAGGTTACATTCGGTAGCCTGCCAGTTTGTCAAAAGTAAGGATGAGATAAGAAGATGTTGCATTCATGGCTGCGCACTTCCGGGAGCTGGTTTTTATAGTCTCTGGGTCTTGGCCGTTGATGGGATTACACGGCGCCAGGGGTCCAGTTGGTGGGTGTGACCCCTGCCTACTGGAATATGGAGGATCTGGGTGGAGGATGCTCAGCCCCGATCCGAGCAGGCTTGGAGATCTCAGCCCTGGAACCCGCATGCCTTTTTTCCTCTGTCGGTACCTTCATGCGTGTGGAGAGTGGTCTCAGCATGGTGGTGGCTGGTTCTGGAGGTCTTCGGCTGCCGAAACCCTGGTTGGGGCAGGGAGGGAAACTCAACCCGTTCCCCTCCAAGGGGCCCTGGGCGAGGACAGCCAGGCGCAGGGGCAGGAGACTCTGCGCTGTTCTCTTCCAGGATCTGGGTTTTATATAGCTTTGTACCTATAGCCCAGTGAAAAATAGAAACATTTCATACACCACGAAGGCAAAGCTCAAAAACATGATTTTTAATGCCAATATTTCTATATATCATTAGTTATAACAATGTTACCACCATGTGCTGCTGGAGTACCACATGTTAAGCGTCATGGTGTTCTTTTGCAGATCAGCAGGTAATTTTAGTGAAGAGTGCTAGTCCACAAAAATACCACTGAGAGGATAGAATGTTTTCCCCCTTCTTATTTCAAAAGGAAGAAATAAAGACAACTAGAAAAAGAATAAGAAATGTTCATATTGGGGGCTAGAGCGATAGTACAGTGGGTAGGGCATTTGCCTTGCACACGTCTGACCCGAGTTCAATTCCCGGCATCTTCTACCATCCCCCAAGCACCACCAGGAGTAATTCGTGAGTACAGAGCTAGGAGTAACCCCTGAGCATTGCTGGGTGTGACCCAAAAAGAAAAAAAAACAAAAAGAGGAAGAAAGAAATATTGTTATCATGCTAAGTGAAATGAGTCAGGAAGAGAGGCACGGGCATAGAATGACCACACTCATTTGTGGAATATAAACATGAGACTGACACCCAAGGACAGTAGACACAAGGACCAGGAATATTATTCCATGGTTGGTAGCCTGCCTCATGAGCTGGGGAAAAAGGCAGTTGGAATAGAGAAGAGATCACTAAGTCAATGATGGTTGGAGGGATCACTCGGGATGGGAGATGTGTGCTGAAAGTAGATAACGGACCAAACGTGATAGCCCCTCAGTATCTGTATTGCAAACCATAATGCCCCAAAGTAGAGCATATGGGGGAGATTATCTGATCTGCCAAAAATGTGAGAGGGATACTCAGGACATTGGTGATGGAAAATGGAGGGATGGGTGTTCGTTCATTGTATGACTGAAACTCAAACATGAGCTTTCTAGCTATATCTCACAGTGATTCAATAAAAAAAAAAAAGTCACAGTCACTGTCCTCCTGCTGTTCATCGATTTGCTCGAGCGGGCCCAGTAATATTGTGAGACTTGTTACTTGATATTTGTTACTTGTTATTCGATATGTGTTTGGCATATCGAATACGTCATGGGTAGCTTGTCAGGCTTTGCCGTGCGGGCGAGATAGTCTTGGTAGCTTGCTGGGCTGAAATGTTCATATTATATCTGCTTAAGACCATAGTGTGCCTTTCTTTTTCCCTTTACTAATGTGTTTATATTTCTACTTAAGTAATTAATTTGATGGTGCAAGGTTTGCCCCTATTACAAGGCACATCCCTGACCAATATATTTAAATTTGAAATTTGTGAGCCTGATTTGATGATAATGATCAAATTATTTTTGATCAATAATGATAATAATTGATAATAATGATCAAATCTTTTCAGCAGACTTAAGCCACGGTCATAGATTGTCAAGAAATGCATTTTATCAGACTTAAAAATAGATTTTTACAGATAATCCATGAACATCCAGGCCTGGACTTCCCCAGGCCTTGCTTATCCCTGGGCTGAAAGGAGGAACGATCATTTAGAAGGTGTTTTGTGATTATCGAGAAACTCCTGGTTTGAAGTAGCAGTTCTCCACCTCGCTTTCCTGCGTATAATATCACATTTTCTCCACCCTCCAGAGAGACCTATTGGAGAAAAGGCAGAGGCGCAAGCGCCTGGATCCAATGGTGGTGCGGCCAAATCCTGTTACTGGACTTCCTCTTGCAAAGCCGAGAAGTGGGGAGAGTCGTTTCTATCTGAGGTCATCTTGTCCTCCCGGCAACAATTTCATCCTGCCTGGTGTGTGTTCACCACAGCTCTTCCTGCTTAGGGGCAGTTTCTGCAGCCATAAGAGAAGGTGGGAAGAGGGACCAAGGGACCCGTGTTAGCATCGTTCAAAACCACATGTGAGCTAGAATAAAGAAGTAGACTCATCAGTGGGAGATTTTTTCTTTTTCTTTCCTCCTCCCCCGCTTTCTTTAAAAATTTTTTAGCTTTTTCTTCAGTCACACCTTACAATGACTCAGGGGATACTCCTGGCTCTGTGCTCAGGAATCACTCCTGGCAGTGCTCAGGGGATCCTATGAGATGTTGGGAATTGAACCTGGGTTGGCTGCTGGCAAGGCAAGCACCTTACCCTCTGTACTATAGCTCCAGCCCCCATCTACTGAGTGTTCTTGGTGTTAGGCTTCTAGAGTACCACATCCTGTTTATTTGCATTAGTAAAATGTAGTACAGTGAACACCACTCCTGTGAAACCATGACAGGTAGAAGAGAAGCGAGATGGTTTGGTGGTTCTTAGTTCTCAGGCGCATCCAAACCACCCATGGCAGAAAAGCTCATTCTTGCTTTGGGTTTCCTTTCCTTTGGCTTCTAGGAGCTGTTGACCCAGTTGCCACCACGAGGCCCAGCAATCAGGATTCAGTTCCAGAACTTCTTACCATCCCTCTAAACTCTTCTTCCAGCAAAGAGGAAACAGAGGGACAGGCCGCTGGGACAAGCACTGCGGTGGCTGCTTCTCAAATTGGTGAGGACAGGGAAGACTTTCAGATAGACGTGGTCACATGTCACCTTCTCCTTGACATCTTGGCAGGGGTAGAATGTGGGTGTTGGGTTTTTTGAGACACACTTGACTGTTCTCAGGGACCTCCCGTGGCGGTGTGGGGGAGGATATGCTGACCCAAGTTTGTTGGGTGCAAGGCCTAACCCATGATCCAGTCCTTGACTTTTATCCATTGGGATAAAATTAATGAAAAAGAAAATATCTCTGGGCAGGTGAAAATTGCGTGTAATGCAGCTTAGGGCCTAACAGGTGACAGCATCAGGCATTTTGGCCTCTGTGGGGTAACTTGTACACTGCCAACAATACTAGTATTTTTCTATTACCCAAGACAAATGAGGAAATTAAACTAAATCGAAAATATCAGCAGCATTAGCTATGGCACTTGACTCTTTTTTTGTTTTTGTTTAGAGCCATACAGTGCTAATGTTCTTGTATGTGTGTGTGTGTGGGGGGGGGGGGTCCGTCAGGTTTTGGCACTCAGCTATGCTCAGGGCTTACTCTTGGTGCAGTGCTTGGGAGTCACCCTCAGTGACACTCTCTGGGGACCTTGTGATACGAGAGATGAAATCTGGCTCTCCCCGGTATATTACAGCCCATTGAGCTCTTTCTCCGACCTGCTGTGTGGGATTCTCATCTGAGAAAGGATAGCAGAGTCGGATTGTAGAAAAACTGCCCTGCAGCATCAAGGCTGAGTTTGGAGGAGTGAATCTGGATGCAGAATAAGTACTCCAGGGATGGGTTAGGTGAACACCTGCATTCTACAGGTCTACAGTGTGTGGGAGGATCTGAGGGAGGAAGTAGAAGTCCACAGCCAGGCAGGGAGAAAGGACAAAGAAAGATGTTAGAAGAAGCTAGGGATTCTCCTGAGCCTGGATGAATGCACGGAGCCACCTCCTGTGGAATCTGAGGAGTTTGACAGTGAACAGCAGCTCCTCGATCTCTACAACACAGTAGATTTTACACACGTAACAATCAGGAGTTCCTATACCTTGGAGTTTCTTACTTACACATAGGACACTCCGTTCTAAAAGATGATGACTCCAAAATTAGAGAGTAAAGACGGACGGTACCTGCTACAGAGGCAGGGAATGGGATGGAGTGGGGTGGGGGTGGTGGGTGGGACACTGGGAACAATGGTGGTAGAAAATGGGCACTGATTAAGGCATAGATGCTCGAGCATTGAGTGACTGAAACATAATTATGCAGGTTTGTGACTGTATCTCAGGGTGATCCAATAAAACTTCTTAAAAGAAAAAAAAATAAATAAATAAAAGATGCTAACTAATATGTCCTAGATCCTGATGCTAATGAGTCATTTAGCCTGGGCCAAAGAATATCATTGCAGGACAAGAGGGATATTACAGCAGGCAGGGAGTTTGCTGTGCACGTGGCCAACCCGGGTTTGTACACTCCAGATGTTGCCCTGAGCACAACCAAGAATAATCTCTGAGTGCGGAGCCAGGAGTAAGCCCCGAACATTGCAGGTTGTGGTTCTCTCCCTCTCCTATGCCCCTAAATCTTTACAAAAGCATTGGATGTTGAACCGTATGTTCTTGGCAGATTGGTAGGGACCATCAGACTGCAGTGTGGCAGGGGGCAGACATGCAGATGCCCAAGCTCTGGAAACAACATGGAGGATATGAACTCTGGAGTAACAACTTTATTTTCTTGGGGTTAAGTTTCTAAAGTACAACACCAAATATGGATTTTCAATTTTAGCTGTACCCAGCAACGCTCAGGGATTCCTCCTGACTCTGCCCTCAGGAATTCCTCCTAGTGGTGCTTGGGGGACCCTATGGGATGCCAAGGAATGAAGCTAGGTTGGCCACGTGCAAGGTCACAACAGCCTTACCTACGTATTATATCACTCTGGCCCAACATCAAGAATGCTTTATGTTAGCAAATTTTCTTTCAGTGAACACCATTCCTCTGTTTCTATTACAGGAAGATAAATGAAATGATTTGGTGGTTCTTAATTCGCACATACATCTGAATTGCCGAGCGACTTACCAACTCATTGTTCCCTGGGTTTTCTTTTCATTTTTTTTTTTTGGCTCATAGATGCTGTTGATGCAGACCTGGAACTTCCAGAAGAGTCTCAAGATTCTTTTGTCACCATAGAGGACATTGATGAATGTAATGAGGAATGTCGCTTGACGAAACTTGCTTCTAAGAAGTTTTTTAACATACATGGTAGGAACCGGAAAGAGATCGAACCTGGGTCTCCCACATACATTGAAGCCCTTGATCTTTCTCTCTGGCCTCCAACTTGGGGTTTTCAGATGAGAAAGGCTATCAGAAGTGGACCGTAGACAAATGACCCTGTATCCTAAAGAATGAATTTGAAGGAGGGGCCGGAGCAATAGCATACAGTAGGTTGGGTGCTTGCTTGGTATGCAGCGGACCTGGGGTTGTTCTCTTGCACCACATAAGGTTCCCCAGTCCCTTCAGGGGATGATCCCTGAGTTCAGAGCTAAGAGGGAGCCCTGATCACTTCTAGGATGCCGGGGAATGAAGTTGGGTTGGCCGTGTGCAAGGTAACAGCAGCCTTACCTGCTGTATTATCACAGCAGGTAAGTATGTCCCAGAAAGGAAAAAAATAAAAATAAAAACAAGAATGAATTGAGAGGAGCAAGTCTGGAAGCAAAACTAACCCAGAGATGATTTGGCTCCTAACCTGTGTGCTCTGTTCCAGTGTGGTGTGTAAGAAAAAAATATACAGAGAAAAAGTAGAATTACACTGCCAGGTGGTGGGAGGGCCAGGAGGGAGGAAATAGAATTCCACTTCCGGGCAGGGGAAAGGGCAAAGAAAGATGTTGGAAGAAGCTGGGGATTCAGCCGAGCCTGGAAGGATGCACAGAGGCCTCTGCTGTGGAAGAAACTAGAGTTACATTGAACGGCAGCTCCTGATGTCTCTCAACCAATGCATTTTATGATTGTAACAATCAAGAGTTCCTGTACTTTGGAGTTTCTTACTTTACAGATAGGACACTGAGTTCTAAAAGATTCTAAAGAATATGTCCTCGATCCTATTGCTCATGAACCGGTTAGCCTGGGCCAAAGAATGTCATTGCAGGGCTGGAGGGATATTACAGCAGGTGGGGAGCTTGCCGTTCATGTGACCAGTCCGGGATTGATATCCCCAGCACACTCCAGGTGATGCCCTGAGCACCGCCAAGAATCATCCTTGGGAGAAGAGCCAGGAGTAAGCCCTGAACACTGCTGGTTGTGGGTCCTGTCCCTCACCCCCACCCCCTCAGCCCAAATGTTTACAAAGCAGATGTCCAACAATATGTGCTTGACAGATTGGTAGGACACACCAGACTGCGGTGTGGCCATAGATGGACTACACCAAATATGGATTTTTTTTATTTTAGCCAAACCCAGCAATGCTCAAGTGTTCTTCCTGGCTCTGCCCTCAGGAATTCCTCCTCGTGGTGCTTGGGGAACCCTATACAATGCAGAGGAATGAACCTGGGTTGGCCCCATACAACAGCCTTACCTTCCGTATTATCACTCTGACCCAACATCAAGAATGTTTAATGTTAGCAAAATTTCTTTCAGTGAACACCATTCCTCTGTTTCTGTTACAGGAAGGTAATTGAAATGGTCTGGTGGTTCCAAATTCTCACATATATCTGAATCGCACAGCGACATACCAACTCACTATACCCTGGGTTTTCTTTTTCTTTTGGCTCCTAGATGTCATTGGCGCAGACAATAAGGATTTGGATTTGAAACTTCCTGTCTCATCTCAGGGCTCTCCTACCTCCATAGAGAAAATTGAGGCTACGGGAAAGAAGCCACGCTCTCCAAAGCTTGCTTCTAAGAAGTTTTATGACAAAGATGGTAAGGACAGGAAAGAGATCAAACCTGGGTCTCCCACATGGGTTGTAGCCCATTGAGCTTTCTCTCTGGTCTCCAACTTGGGGTTTCCAGATAAGAAAGGCTATCAGATGTGGACCATAGACAAATGACCTTGTATCGTAAAGAATGAACTTGAAGGAGAGGCCAGAGCAATAGTATACAGTAAGTTGGGTGCTTGCTTGGTATGCAGCCAATCTGGGGTTGATCCCTCGCACCACATAAGATTACCCAGTTCTGTCAGTGGATTATCCCTGAGTGCAGAACTAAGAGAGAGCCCTGAACCCTTCAAGGGGTGTCCCAGAAAAGGAAAAAAGAAATAAGAATTAATTGAGAGGAGCAAGTCTGGAAGCAGAATTAACCCAGAGATGGTTTGACTCCTAACCTGAGCTGTGTTCCAGTGTGATGTGTGAGAAAAAATAAGCAAAGAAAAAGTAGAATTACACTGCCACGCAGTGGGACAGGGGTGAGCCAGCAGTGCGTCTCTGAGTATGACTGTGACAATAGTTGTCACCATTTGGAAAGATGCTGAGAAGGCCAGAAAGATTTTAATGATGTCTTTAGTTAGGAACAGATGCCATTGGGCTACACTAGCACGCGACAGATGCCATTGGGCTACACTAGCACGCGACAGGGACAAATGGAGACGTTACTGGCGCCCGCTCGAGCAAATCGACGACTAACGGGAAGTTAAGTGATTAAGTGATTAGTTAGGAGAATTTCATTTTTCTACAGACTTAGCAGATGTTGGTGTATTTTTCTCTGACAGATATTTTAGCCCATATGATCCTGGAGAGAGAGGAGAAAGCCAAGAAAAGTCAAGAATCTGCAGAAGCAATTCTAAAACATCATTTACCATTATTCCCAGTGGGCACCACTGAGGATGAAGACAGCTTTCAGTCAGCCATGGTTCGTAGATCTGAAATGTTTCTAGTTAAGTGAGAACTTCAATTCTACAGTCACTGGGAACCAAGGGGACTGTCTCCCAGATCTAGCTTCAGTGTTTCAAGGCCATTAGTCACTCTGGTCCACCTTCCTAAGACTTGAGCTCAAATTTCGGCTCCAGAGTCACAATCCCTCTTCTTTCTTTTGTCTCCAACGAACATGAATCCCTTTCTCATCTCTCATCACTCTCTCTTCACCACTTTCTCACGCCTTTCAGTATTTCCTTTTACCATGCCTGCAAAATTAAAGCATGGAAGCAACCCAGTCCATTATTTTGTGGATGAAGTGTTTCTTGAAGAGTTTGAGGTTTTCTTTTCAGTGCCCCAAATGCTCATGGATGGTGCTTCCCTCAGGATACAATTGAGTCCTTTGAGACAGCCGTTCCGGAAATGACTGAGTTTATGACATCTCTGAGTAATCTGAAGGACTTTGCTTACCATCAAGCTCCTCAGGATACCGCTGTGAGATGTATGATAATCAAAGACATTAAGGGTATCTTCCCCGGCTACTATATGTTTGTGGAAGTTAAAGAGAATAAGGAGGTATGACACTGGGTTTTCCTGTTAAATTGGGGGTCAAAGGGAAGAGTTTGGGGAACTTCACCTGGGCATTAGACCAGGTCAACTGGTGGGAAGAAGGAACTATCTGTTCCTGGGTGCTGTGTTCCTGGAGTTCCTGGCTACTAGGCACAATTTTCTATTCCTATGCAGCCAAAGGAAAAGAATTTTAGGGGCTGCAGCGATAGCACAATGGGTAGGGTGTTTGCTTTGCACGTGGCCGACCTGGGTTTGAATCTCAGCATCCCACACGGTCCCCCAAGCATCACCAGGAGTAATTCCTGAGTGCAGAGTCAGGAGTAACCCCTGTGTATCGCTGGGTGTGACCCAAAAAGCAAAAAAAAAAAAAAAAAAAAAGAATTTGAAGGTCCAGAGCAATAGTACAAAGGGAAAGGCATTTGCCTGGCAAAGGGCCAAACCAGGTTCAATCCCCAGAACCCCAGCTTATTCTCTGAGCACTGCCAGAATTAATTCCCGAGTGCAGAGCCATGAGGAACCACTGAGCATCACTGGGTGTGGCCCAGCGTGCCTCCCCAACCCCCAAAGAAAGTAATACAGTGGGAAGGAATATTTAAAGAAATCATCTTCCCTGGTTTGGGTGGGTGGAGGGTTACTGTGGCCTCTCTGGCTATTTTCCTTAAATAGGTGAGAAAGATAAATGCATACTCGGGACCAGCCGTTTGAAATATGGAACATGGTGGCACATTTCATTGTTGACCAGAGCTTTCTTCTTTTTTCCAGCTCTTCGTCCTTGCAGCTAGAAAGTACAAGAAGTTTATGAGATCAGAATACATTATCTCCACTGACTTTATGGATTTATGTCGTGGAGGGACGAATTACATTGGCAGACTTCGGTGAGATTCGCCTTGTATCAATGTCTTTTCTTTTGACAAAAAAAATTGTGGGGGGTGTGGGGTAGCACACGAAGCCCAACCTGTCACATGTTAGTGTTCTCTTCTACAAGGCCTTAATATCTCCAGGCTGAGCTACAACAATCTCCACTCCCTTTCCTCTAAGAAAGCCTTTCGGGATCACTGTTAGCAGAGTATTCATAACAAGCAATGCAAATAAATTAGTATCTGCCTTTGGGGCAGGCATGTGTGGTGTTGAGAAGATTCGAAATAATGGTGGTGGGACGGGGGAATGGTGGTGGAATTAGTGTTGAAATATTGAGTGCCATAAGTTATAGTGAACAACTTTCCAAAAATAAAATTTAAAGAAAAATTGGGGATGGGAGCCACCTGATAAGACAGTCTGCATGCTACCAGACTGGATTCGAATCCTGGCACCCCTTAAGTTACCCGAGCAACACCTGAGGTTCCTCGTGAACATAGAGGTAGAAATAAACCCTGAGCGCCCCCGAGTGTGGCTTGACCCTGCTCCTCCAAACTTCTTTCTAATGAAGTGGGCAACTCCTGGTGCGAGGTGGGGGGAGCAGCAAGGCCGCTGAGAAGTAGCCGTCAGGGAAGTAACCCTCGCTTGCTTCCAGGAGAGATCTCTGAAGAGGTGATGGTGAGTGTTTGGCTACTTGGCAACGAGCGAGGCAGAGAGACTCCCATTCTGTTCCAACGTCAGCAGGTTTGCTTCCGCAGGGGAAACCCAGAAGCCATCCCGCTGACTCTGTGTCCTGCTTCTAGGGCCAACCTCATGAAGACCAAGTACACGCTTTACAGCAGGATGGATCCAAACCAGTGCAGGGACTTGACTGAAAAGTGCTCCACACAGCAGAAGCTCGGGACCATCACTTACGTAAGTGTGTCCTTGGGTGCCGCCTCTGTCCCCAGGCTGTCGTGCTGTGCTTCCTCTCTGCTGGGTGGATTTCCCTCAAACAGGTCGCTGCCTTTTTCTTTCCTTCCTCTTTCCTCTTCCTCTGTAGCCAACCGTTCATTTTTTTTTCTTTTTAGATTTTATTTTATTTTTATAAAGCCGTTCACAATAACTTACTACGTTGAATATTCCAACACCAAACCCACCACCATTCTACCTTCCCCCCGCCGTATTTCGAATGTTTCCACCCTGGCCCCCAAAGCAGGACCTCAATATTGTAGTATGGATTGCTCGTTAGGGATCACTGTCACTGTCACTGTCCTCCCGTTGTTCATCGATTTATTCGAGCAGGCTCAGTAACGTCTCCACTTTGAGACTTGTTGTTACTGTGTTTGGCATATTGAATACGCCACGGGGAGCTTGCCAGGCTTTGCCGTGCAGGTGAGATACTCTCGGTAGCTTTCCAGGCTCTCTGAGAGGGTGGAGGAATCAAACCCGGCTTGGCTGGGCTGGCTGCACGCAAGACAAACGACCTACTGCTGGAGTGATAACACCGTGGAGAAGGCATTTGCCTTGCACACGACCGACCCAGTCGCCCCAGGTTCAATGCCTCCACCCCTCTCGAAGAGCCCGGCAAGTTACCGAGAGTATCTCGCCCGCATGGCAAAGCCTAGCAAGGTCCCCGTGGCATATTCAATATGCCAAACACAGTAACAACAAGTCTCACAATGAAGACATTACTGGGCCTTCTCATTATGGATATCCGCTAAAAATGATCCCAAAAAGTTTCCTTAGAGGAAAGTGTGTGAAGATTGCTGACCCTTAATTTGTTCTGAATGCCTGTTACACTCTCTCTCTCCCCAGAGGGGCTCCTTTCGTTTGTTTAAATAGTCACATGGTTTTAATTCTACATGACCAAGATTTTAATTTTACATGAACAACACCTTGTGTTAAGAAAAGAGTCTTGGGCTGGGGTGATAGCACAGCGGGTAGGGCGTTTGCCGTGCACACAGCCAACCCAGGTTCGATTCTCAGCATCCCATATGGTCCCCTGAGCACTGGCAGGGGTAATTCCTGAGTGCAGAGCCAGGAGTAACCCCTGTGCATTGCAGGGTGTGACCCAAAAAGCAGAAAAAAAAGAGAAAAGACATTAGTCTTTCCCTGCCTTTAATGACAGTAAAAAAAAGTTCTGCCTTATTTTTCTGTCTAGAAAAATAAAGCGCTTCGATTTCAAAGGCCTAAGAGTATAACTGTGATCATTCCAATTTCGACTGAGAGTGAAGAGCAGGTGCCAGTTGAATCAAAGAGGGTAAGTAGGAGCAGAGGTGCTCAGCAAAGGCGATAGAAGAAAAAGCATGTGTGTGTGTGTGTGTGTGTGTGTGTGTGTAGACATTAAAATTGTATAATTATAGTTAAGGTAATTTGTTTGCACCAGTGTTGACATTCCTGATGCTAGTATACACCACTATTTCAGCTCACCACAAAAAAAAATCCAACTTTGTTTGCTTTGACTTTGTGCAGGGGTCAGGACATGTGCCAGAAATCCAATCTGGGGCTCCAACATGCAGGGCACGTGTGTTCCAGCCCACGGAGCCATCCCCTGGCCCTAAACAAAGAACAAAGAGTTCTTACTCTGTCATTCAGGGCCGTTGTGAAAGTGGTTGAATCGAAACCATTGAGTCTGGAGGGAGAAATTCCAGATAATCTAGAATCATTTTTTAAATGGCTTAATTTCTTCCCCCTACCCCCAGCTTTCTGGGTCAACCTCAGTGATGCTCAGGGCTTCCTCCTGTCTCTACACTCAGGAATTAACTCCTGGCAGTGCTTGGAAGACCCTACCGGCTGCTGGGGATCAAATCCTGGGCCAGCTGCATGCAAGGCAAACACCCTGTCCGCTGCCCTATTGCTCTAGCCCCCAAATGCCTTCATTTTTGACACTGTTCTGTTTGATGAGCTCTTGATAGAAGAGACCATTCCCCTGCACTACTCTGTATCTGGAGCGATAGCACAGCGGGTAGGGCGTTCGCCTTACAAGCGGCCAACATGGCCGACCCGAGTTCGATTCCTCCGCCCCTCTCGGAGAGCCCGGCAAGCTACCGAGAGTATTCGATATGCCAGACACAGTAACAACAAAGTCTCCAATGGAGACGTTACTGGGCCCGCTCGAGCAAATCGACGATCAACGGGAGGGCCTTTACCTTTACCTTACCTTACTCTGTACCTGAGAGCGTGGAAATGATTTCTTGTGGTTCCTTGTGCAAAGTCACATACTTTTCCCCTTCACACAGACCCTCAAGGATTTTTTCTCTAAATGGAGAAAGAAAACCAAGGACAATGTCGTTGAATTCAAAAATAAGTACCCTATTGGGAACCTCAAGACGCAGAGCTATTGCTTGCCCCAGTGGATGAAGGACAAGTCGCAGAAGACCTTCCAGCTCATTCAAGGAAGTGAGAGTAAGTCCAGTGCCAGGGTTGGATGGAGCAGAAGGAAAGAGCATCTTCCAGATGGGGGAGGCCTTGTCGCTCATGGATCCTTCTACTCAGGAGGGAAATGGTTTAGAAAGACGTGACTGCTTTCAAATGAGAACATTTCACAGTACACTTTGAGTTAATTTCTGTCTGCCTTCCTTCCTTCCTTCCTTCCTTCCTTCCTTCCTTCCTTCCTTCCTTCCTTCCTTCCTTCCTCTTCCTTCCTTTCTCTTCCTTCCTTTCTCTTCCTTCCTTCCTTTCTTCCTCCCTCCCTCCCTTCCTTCCTTCCTTCCTTCCTTCCTTCCTCTTCTTCCTTTCCCTTCCTTCCTTTCCCTTCCTTCCTTCCTTTCCCTTCCTTCCTTCCTTCCTTTTCCTTCCTTCCTTCCTTCCTTCCTTCCTTCCTTCCTTCCTTCCTTCCTTTTCCTTCCTTCCTTCCTTCCTTCCTTCCTTCCTTCCTTTCCCTTCCTTCCTTCCTTCCTTCCTTCCTTCCTTCCTTCCTTCCTTCCTCTTCCTTCCTTTCTCTTCCTTCCTTTCTCTTCCTTCCTTCCTTTCTTCCTCCCTCCCTTCCTTCCTTCCTTCCTTCCTTCCTTCCTCTTCTTCCTTTCTCTTCCTTCCTTTCCCTTCCTTCCTTCCTTCCTTCCTTCCTTCCTTTCCCTTCCTTCCTTCCTTCCCCTTCCTTCCTTCCTTCCTTCCTTCCTTCCTTCCTTCCTTCCTTCCTTTTCCTTCCTTCCTTCCTTCCTTCCTTCCTTCCTTTCCCTTCCTTCCTTCCTTCCTCCCTTCCTTCCTTCCTACCTTCCTTCCTTCCTTCCTTCCTTCCTTTTCCTTCCTCCCTTCCTTCCTTCCTTCCTTCCTTCCTTCCTTCCTTCCTTCCTTCCTTTCCCTTCCTTCCTTCTTTTCCTTCTTCCTTCCTTTCCCTTCCTTCCTTCCTTCCTTCCTTCCTTCCTTCCTTCCTTCCTTCCTTCCTTTCCCTTCCTTCCTTCCTTCCTTCCTTCCTTCCTTCCTTCCTTCCTTCCTTCCTTTTCCTTCCTTCCTTCCTTCCTTCCTTCCTTCCTTCCTTTCTCTTCCTCCCTCCCTCCCTCCCTCCCTCCCACCCTCCTTCCCTCCCATCCTTCCTTCCTTCCTTCCTTCCTTCCTTCCTTCCTTCCTTCCTTTCTCTTTCTTTCTTCCTTCCTTCCTTTCTCTTTCTTTCTTCCTTCCTTCCCTTCCTTCCTTCCTTTCTTTCTTTCTTTCTTTCTTTCTTTCTTTCTTTCTTTTTGGGCCACACCTGGCAATTCTCAGGGGTTCCTCCTGGCTCTACAACCAGGAGTCACTCCTGGTAGTGCTCAGTGGACCCTATGGGATGCCAGGGATCGAACCCAAGTCATCTGCCTACAAGGCAAATGCTCTCCCTGCTGGGCAGTCCCCGAGTTTGAGTTTCTGAATCTTTGTGCTGAGGCATTCAGAGATTTAGAGATTCTCTGGGTCCATCTTTCAGGTTTCCCGTTTCAGAGAAACCTGCTGATGAATAAACTTGTAGAGGAGAATTTGTTTTCCTTCTTATTTGATTTTGGGGCCACATTTGACCACGCCCGGGGGTTACACCTTCTTTGTCCTCAGGAATCTCTCCTGGTGGGCCTCAAGGGACCCTATGGCATGCTGGGGATCCAAACCAGGTCTGCCCCGTGCAAGGCAAAATGCCCTACCTGCTGTCCTAAGGCTCCAACCTGAGATTTTGTTTCTGTCCCTTCAATACAGGCTTTTCTCCAGTCCACCTACACCGTGTCCTAATGACCTCATGTCTTTCCTTCCCAGCTTCCCGTGTGGTCATGCAGCTTGAGCACGTGATCAAGCAACAATTCTTCATGGAGTACAGCCACCCTCTATCGACAGTGCAGGCATTTGCCATTGCTCTGTCAAGGCTTGACAGAGGCTGATGGGCTTGTGAGGGCCAAGCCTGCCCTGGGTGTGACTGGGATGGTGTGAGTGGAATGACAGGGGGAAGTGGGCCGGTGCCAGGTCACTTCATTCCTTTAAGGAGTCATTTTCAACCTGGCCCGCCGAAAATAAATTAGGTACTAGTAGATCTTGGGCAGTGAGCGGGTGGGTGACATATGGCAGCTGGTGACAGGCAGCCCCCAAGTCGGCCATCCTTCCCTGCTCCTGCAGGACTAGCAAATGTCCTCCCCCAATGCCTGTGGCTGGTACAAAGCCATAGGGACTGGGAACTCCAGAGACAGATTCGGTACAGTAAGGCCACCAAGGGTACACAGAGGACAAGACTGCAGCTGCACATGCCAGAGCAGGAACAAGAGAGGCTGAATTGACAGCCTGGAGAAACCTGGAAATCAGGGAAGGACCTGAATTATTTATTTATTTTTTGAATTGTTCATTTATGTTTTTAATTTTTTTTTGTGATTTGGATCTCTTCTTTTGATTTTTTTTCCTTTTAATTAAATCACTGTGAGGTAGAACCTTTCAAAACTGCATGATTAGGTTTCCATCATCCAGGGTTCCAACGCCCATCACTCCAGGATCCGGAGCGTTTCAGGGAATTGCAATGTGGTCTCGCACTGCTTTAGCGTATTTAATTCTGTCTGCAGTTCTTTCATGCAGTCCTCAGGCACCACATGCTGAGGGACTTACCCACTATTGTGGGACCACGTCTTGATATTCAGAGCTGACCATTCCTCAGGGACTTGGATGCAGGACCAGAGAGACAGTGGATTTGTACATAGTGACCTGTGTTATCACCACAGAAAAAAGTCACCAGAGGACTTTCAAGGTAGCATTTTCCCTGCCCTCTTTAAACCGAGTTCTGGGCAAAGATAAACTTGGACTCTGTCAGTTCTGCACAGCCTGAATTGGCCAACATGGAAGACAAACAACCCCCAGATGAGCAGAGATATGGTCACCTTTGCAAAACAGCCAGTATACCCAACTATCTTGTGTATTCTCCTCCTCCTCTTCAGCGGGTGCCATGAGCCCAGCCTCAGCCCCATCTCAGTTTTCGTTCCCACATCGGACAGCCCAGTGCAAAACCTGGAACGTGATAACACCACAAGTTTGAGCTCTCTAGACAGATGGAAAATGGAGTCATGGGTCTCAGAATGAATGCCCTCAGGGGGAAAACCCACTTCAGTGCGCCAGAAGCCTGTGAGAAAGTTGTCTGGGACAAGGATCACGATTTTGCTATTTAGTTCTGTGTTTTTTCAAAGTTTGGTTTCTGGGCTGTACACCCAGTGGTGCTCAGGGCTGACTCTTCCCTCTGCACTCAGGGATCACTCCCGGCTGGCCCAGGGTCCCCTATGGCTGCTGGGGATGGAACTCGGGTCAGCTATGTTCCAGACAAGTGCCTAGCAGCTCTCTGATCTTTCTATGGTTTCGTGAAATCCTTGGAGTGGGGAAGAACTGCACTGGATTTAGGATGTGAAAAAAGTCCTTGTTCAAGGAAGGCAGTATATTGACAACCAAGCTGTTGGCGTGAGGGGATGTATCTAGAAAATATTTGAAACATGGCAGCAGCTCCAGACCTCACCAACAAGAAGTTGGAGGAATGGGAAATGAGGTTATAAAGATGTTTACTTCTTTTTTTTTTTATGTCCCTGACAAGAATACTGGCTCCTTTGGTTCTAACCTTTGCAAAAGGAGTGACTTTCTTCCTGCATCAATGCAAAGGTGGTCATTTGGGCCTCGGTTCTAACAGAAAAAGTGGTTGATGTGGGTTTTGCTGTTTTCATCAATGTCTTAGATTTTTACCTTTCTGTTAACTAGGGAATGCATAAGATAGTAACGTAGGGCTTTGCTGTTTCAAAGAAAACACGGAAGGGTGCTTACATCTATACAAAGGAAACGTTGATCTGGGTCTCTGCCCTTGGAAAGAGAATGGTTAATTTAGGTTTTGCCTTTTCTGATCAAGTGGTAAAGGTTTTTTCCTTAGAGAAAAACAAGAAGTATCAGATCTGTGCCCGAAACGAAAGAATTGGCTTTTTTGGTTCTGCTCTTGTCTGACGCAAAAGAAACTGGAGCTTCTATATAACCCTTCTCAAACGGGTGGAGGGTCACCACGGACCCTGAGAAAGAGCCAGACAGTCTTTCAGTTGCCCTGAGCAAGGTCCTGGGACAGGATATTGGAATTCAGTGGGAAATTGAGCCCCCAAGACTTTGCGCCCTGACTCAGTGCTCTTAGGGTCCTGGGGCCCCGTGCCGGCTGGGCAGCCACGCTCTGGGTTCTGGGACCAGTGTGCCTGTTGAAAGAGCACTTTGGTGCCCTGAAATCTTCACTCCTGTCCTGGCTCAAAACCTGGTGGCTCTGAGGACCGCCTTCAGCTCCCTGACCCCTGCAAAGAATTTCTGTTTTCTCTGGACCCCCATTGTTTGCCTCTGCACCCCTAGACTCTGTCCCTGAGGGATGGGGGGAGCATCAAGGACCCCGGAAGCCGTCTTTGCCTCCTTGTCTGTGAAACCTGCAGGCAATTATGCAAAGCTGGGGTTCTGCTTGTGAGCTGTGTCTAAGCCAGATCCCTTTTCTTCTAGGGGTTCTGATATTGGCTGTTTGGTGAATTTTTATTTTTTGAGACATGACTATGAACCTTTATTGATTAATTGAATGTTTATTGGTTAATTGGTGAAGACTGGATGGGGGGACTTACCAGTCCTCTTCAGTTTCAGAGTAAGAGGGATCTTGTTCAGACTCCCCGTCATCTGGATTGTTTTCTTGGTAAGAGTATTCGGAGTCGGATTGGTTGTTCCATGAACCATTTGCTTTATTGGTTCACCCGCTGTTCCAGAAGAAGACCTTTGATTTCTGTAGTAATCGTCCCTTAAATGGTAGGCTTCTTTGAGGCTTTGAGGCAGGATGTAATATTTCAAAAGGGCTGGTGTTCTTCTGCGCTGAGGTTATTCCAAAGATCACTATTCACTATTCGGGGTGAGGGTGTTGGGATCCTTCACCCTGTGTTTGTGGATGGGATCTGTGTGGGGAGGGATAGACCTGGTGCCGGCTCTGCACCGGCAGCGTGGTGAATACAGAGCACTGTGGAGAGCTTTCTGGGGGGAGCTGCAGGCGAGGGTGGGGGCACCCATCACTCATGCACCCCTGGGGTGATACAGAGTGGGGGGGAGCGCAGGAAGTGGACCTCAGGCCAGCTCCACTCAGCAGCTCAGGGGGTTCACAGAGCAGGGGAAGGTGGAGATTGGAACTGATGGTGATGGAGGGTCCACCCACCAGCACTGGAAAGGCCACAGGCGAGAAAAGGCTGCCTCAGGAGCCCACCCATGTGACAGGAGGGGCCCAGCACCATGGTCACAGACACTGCCTTTTCCCCGACTCATGAGACAGGCTTCCAACCATGGAACAATCTTCCTGGCCCTTGTGTCTCCTGTCCTTGGGTGTTAGTTGAGATCATTTTTAAATGATTGGTGAGCGCACTGGGGTCTTTGAACCCCCCTGAATATAATGCGGCGGGGTGTGATGCTGGGGACAGAACTCAGACAGCACCTGTGCATCAACTGGCGGGGGTGGGGGGGTGTGGATCGGAAGTGCCTCTGCAAAGGGGTTTTGTTCTTTCACTTGCACACACCTGACGGGATAGAGTTGGAGGGTGGGGCAGGGACCTGCTCCGCCTGGCGGTTCGCCCCACCCTACACACGGATGCTCAGATGGCATCCTTAGCAGCCCTGGGAGGGCATGGGGAAGTTTCCCTCACATGTGTCTGGCTGTGGTGGGCACAGGTGAGGGTTGGGTAGCACCGTCTCTGCTCAGGCAGCCCTTGTGTGCTCAGATCACCTGGCGCAGGGCGGGGGGGGGGGGGTGGGGGGAATCTTTCCAACATGGCTCTGCGAGGGCTTTGGGGTGCTTCAGTCACCCACACCTGGACTGCAGAGTTGTGGGGTGCCCAGCCCAGGTTGTCTCAATTCTGGCTGCTTCAGCACCTGGAGCGCGGGTGAGATGGGGGTGCTGGGGTCCTCCCTGCCATCCTCAGTGGGAGGAATCTGGTGACTCAGACTGGACTGGCTCTGCCCCACTCTCCCACGCTTACTACATGCTGGTGTGTCTGAAAGCCACCAGTGAGGGCCCTGGGGTCCTCTTCCTGATGGGCATATGGCTGGGTCTGGGTGGGGCAGGCAGGAGTGGTGCCAGTCAGGCTAGAACGGTTCCGGTGCATCACAATTTTGTTCTGAATTGCCTCTGTCCTCGGTATCAGGGTCCTTCTCTCAGTGTCTGGGATACCTTTGGGCTGTCAGACTATGGCCAGTTCCATTCAGACACCCTGGTGCACTCAGCATTCTGAAAGGGGACCTTGGGAGGGTTCTGGGGGCCTTACTGAGCTCACTGGGATGGAGTGTGGTTGCAGGGGGCGGGGGGTGGGCAGGCTGTGGCTGCTGGGCTGAGCCAGTCCAGCCAACCACAGAGCATGGGCGGAGTAGAGAGTTCGGACATGGTTATGGAGAGGGAGAGCAATGGTACAGTGGGGAGAACTCTGGCCTTGCACACAGCCAACCCGAGTTCGATCCCCAGCATCCCACAGGGTCCTCTGAGCACCGTCAGGTGTGATTCCTGAGTGTGGGGCCAGGAGTCAGCTCTGAGCATCGATAGTTGTGGCAGTAACTGCCCAACAATATAATAAATGAACAAAATAGATGACTGGTCATGGCTCGAAACTTACCAGTGCAAAGGAAGAAAGAGGGCAATTCAGAATAAAATTCTGCATGCACTTACGGAATGGGAGGCAGCTGTGGCTGGGCTCTGCTCAGCAGCCCAGAGCACACAGCGCAGGGGAAGAGGAGCATTTTGAAATATTGTCAGATCAGTTGCAGTTCACTTGCAGGATGGGGCCCGGATGGGGATGGTATGTGGGCGGGGCTGGACTGTCTGTGCCTGAGCTGCCCCCAGTTCTTGGGAGGGGGGTTTGCCTCCTTCCCACAGGGGGTGCAA